CTGCCCCTCCTCCCTTCTCTCACCACCGAAACCGACGAATTTAACAAGGGTGATCTGGGTTGGTGGTTGCGGCGGAGGAGAGATAATCCAACGGTGGTGTTGGTGCAGATTTGGGTTGGTGGTTGCGGGCTTGCGGCGAGGATAGACGGTTGCAGGCTTGTGGCCGGGGAAGGAGGATGGTTTTTCGATGAGGATAGGGAGGAGGGGATGGGGCTGGGGAAGGGGACGGTGTCCTGGTGGTCGGATTTGGGAATGAAGGGTTAGCTGTGGTGGCTGAAGGGAGGAGGGGTGGTTGGGCTGATTTTTGTTTTTGTTAAGCCAATCATGTGTTGACATGTGGCATTTAAAAAACAAAAAAAAAAGTTTACCTTTTCAGCAGGTAACCGGTTTTTGGGACTGCTGGAGGAAAACTGACTTAATAGTTGGGATTATTGTAGAATAAACGATAGTTGGGATTATTGTTTATAAATCGCCCATAGTTGGAATTATTAAAGTGTATTTTTCCTAATTATTAAAGAAATACAGAGTATTGTGTCACGAGAATCATCAAATAAAATACATTAGACTTGTACTTTCTTTGTTAGTTGGTTTTTTTGTTTTTTGTAAGATGCATCATATGCGGAAAAAAAAAAATCCTCAGTTTTTTTAGCTAAGAAGAATCGTAGTAGAAAAAAAGAGGACTCATGTGATATGAGAGAGCTAGAGAGAGCTTATAACCTAAAAAGGAAAATGATGCATCTAATTTGAAACTTCCTTATTTGGAATTGATACATTTATAAAGAATCAGAGGAAGTTTATGATATACATGCATAAAGAATGTGACTTAGGGCCTGTTCTCATACAATTATTTTCAGTTTTCAGTTCTGTTTTGTTCTGTTCAGTTCACTTCAGCTCAACTCTAATAAGTTCAGTTCAGTTCAGCTCCTAATTTCCTTTTCTTATAAAATATTCATTTGAGTTCATGAGATCAGGCCCTTACTTTTTCACCTTGGTTCTCATGTTATGATTACTAAAAGTAATATGGAGTGTGTCACAAAAACCATCGCTCAAAACATGTTAGACTTTTGTGTGAAGTATAACCATACAAAACGTTTATGTGAAGTAAAGATGGCACTGGGACGGGCCGGCCCGAAGAACGCAGCACGAAAAAAGCACGGCACGGCTCGGGCACGAAAAAAGCACGACATGATACTATGCATGTGGATCGTGGGCTGCCTTTATGTGGGAGAAGCACGATAAGGCACTGCACGATCGGGATGGCATGTCAAAGCATGCTAAAATCAATGCAATTTTTCTTAGGCACGCAAGCTCGGCACGGCCAACACAATGGCACATGAGCTTGGGTCGTGCACGAGCCAACCTTTTCAAAAACTTTGGCCCGACACCGGTACGAAACTCATGGGCCAAGCCTAACTAACCCCAAAGCACGTGTTTTGGCACGGCCTAGAGCCATCTTTATTGTGAAGCTTTGGAAGCATACGCATAAGGAACGTGACCAACCATGTTTAGGAAAAAAATGACATATAGTGATGTGCTACCGTTTCAATACTACATTATAGTGATGGTTTTGCCCTTGCTTTTTTTTTTATCCTTTCCTTTTTCTTATTTCCCTTGTTGATTGAACAAAAGATTTGTCCACACACCTAAATAATGTTTTGGAATAAAATCACTTTTGGCTTACAGTGATTTATAAAATAGTTTGAAATATTGTATTACCAGGATCACTACACAATACACATGTCAACTAAGACGCATGCAAATGCACAAAGGATTACCATGATTTACACACACCTTTCCTTTAAAAATTTATTACAATTGAAATTAAGGATGCGTTTTCTATTTATTCACGAGTCTAAAAAAAAATATCTATTCACAAGCCTTAATATAATTTAGAAATTGGAATGAATTGACTTATGATTTCAAATTATTTGAAAGTGAACTGAGTATCGTGTTATACATCCTGAACATGACTAAGTTTTTACAACGGTTTTGGGGTGATAATTATTAATAGTAATATGGAGTGTCGTGTCTCGAGAACCAACGTAGATAACACATTAGACGTGTGTGAAGTATACACATCAAGAACATGACTTTGATTTTGACCTCAGTTCTTAGGTGATAATTATTTAAGTAATATGAAGTTTCTTGTCGCAAGAACCATTATATATAACACGTTAGACTTGCATGTGAAATATATGCATAAAGAAGTGACCTGTTATGGTTTAGTAAAAAGGTGACATTTAATTCTGTCAAAAAAAAAAAAAAAGTGACATTTAAGATTAAGACTGAGTGAACAATTTTTTCATGCTCCTTGGTGGTAAATAGGAGTGCAACTTTTTTTAATTATAGAATTTTGTAAATTAGTATGAAATACTATGTTAACTTGTGTGTAAATGAACAAGATTATTGCGTGATGTATGCTTTTGATAAAACATGACATTTATTCACGTGTCTTAATACAATTTGGATTGAAAAAATTTGCCTTGCTTTGAAAAAATGTTTAACTTTCTATTATATTGCAATGCTTACACCTTAATACTACGAATTGTATTGCAATGCAATTTCTATGTTGTAGAATATAAACTCTATGTTTAAAGTGCTATAGATTATTAGGATAATTTGCCTTGTGATTAGTGCTTAAAACTCAGGTCAATTGGTCTTCAAACAACCTTTAATTTATGCTAAAATAGAAATCAAAATTTATATGAAACAGAATTTGATTACATGAATCATTTATTTCCCTGGTGAAAGAGAGGTCAAGCACCAAAAACAATATGTATACATAATCAACCCCCGCCACCCAAAAAAAAAAAAGTTTCAGCAACTAGTTTTCTTCTCAAGCTAAGCCATTCCGTAAATTAAATCAAGACGCGAATAAATTGCACATGAGCAGGATGAAAATCTATGTAACTGTACAAAACCTCTAGCACCAGCAGAAAAACCTATGAACAAACACGGCAACAAAAGTTTCCGATCTGCAAAAACAACCACTGAATTGGGTTCAAATATTCATCTTCTGCTGGTTCTGCTGCTGCTGGAGGTACAGGCATTTCATGAGGTAAATGCCGATGAAATGCATCAACTGCAGCAGCAACACCATCTTCATTCTCTATCAGCTTAGCAAGCTCCATCACCCGTGTTTTGACCTGAAACATTACAGTGTGAAGCTAATTTGTATCACCAACTTTAGGCGAGAAACCAGAATATTAACCCCCAGTAATTGTGTATAATCCAGCAATTCTATTATGTTTCTTTTTTTCCAGCAGTAGAAAGAAAAACTTCAGCCCAACTTCAGTGTGTAGTAGCTTAATGCAAGACAGAATTACATATCAATTCATATTTATGTATCCTAATGTCATATTTCTTCCCCAGTGTTTAATTTCTCCATAAGTACTCTCCAAGCAGAACAGTTCACATAATGTCAATCGCAGTATATATTATCCTAGAAGGCTCATGATGTCAGGTCCACAGAGAGCCTTTAAATCAAAGACATCTCCACCTCAAATAACATATGCCATTCAATACAAGAGAGCTTGCTTGAACATGGCTTGTATCTATTCTACGTTCAAATACAAAATTGCAATCAGAAATGTATAGATCAGGTAAGTGGGAAAAACAGCAACTGACGAATATAGTTAAAAATACATGGCATGTATCTATTCTACGTTCAAATACAAAATTGCAATCGGAAATGTATAGATCAGGTAAGTGGGAAAAACAGCAACTGACGCATATAGTTAAAAATGGAAAGTACCTCAGGTTGGAGCATAAATCGTATAGCACTTGACAGAGCGTCGATGCTGAGCTGAGCAATAGGAATTGGTTCAGGTCCCAGACCTTTCTGATGAATTCTATCACCCCAAAAGAACTGATCGCCAAAAAATGGTACTACAGTTGTTGGGCACTGCAAAAAATAACATAGGCAGTCAAATTACTTTCTCAACTACATCGGGGTTGTAGCATATGAAAATATACGTCTTCAGCATCAAATTCTGACTGCCAAAAGGCAAACAGCAGAAGCTATACATTGCTGATTATTAAATCCAGAATATTACAAGTATTACTTAAGCAATTAGATAACAAGCCCGATAAGAGTGGGCTGAATATATGATTCAATAGTCTTTAATGTCACTGAAAGATGGAAAACGAAGGATTTAGAACGCAGGCAAGTTCAGCTTTTCCCAAGGGTGCATGAAGCAAGTGAATTTTAGGCATGGATAACATAAGATATTCACATGTTCCAGAAATGAGCAACGAACAAGCTGAAAAACTTACACCAGCTCTTAGTCCAGTGGCTGTCGTTCCAGCACCACCATGATGAACCTGTTTATTTGTGGAAAACAATTGAATTAGCGTTAATTCACTGAGAGCATAAGGCACACTATTTATTATATCCATATAAAATAATATTGCATATGATGTAACATAAACTGAACAGTGAACAGCTATTTTCAACCACAACCATTGAAGGTCACAATCCAAGTTGGTAAACCTTAATTCAAATTGGGACAAGAAGCTTCATATTATATCCATGAAGCTAGATTTCAATCTTTTTTCCCAAAATACAAATCCAGACATGATACAAGCAACTAGCATGAGATAGTCTAACTCACCACGGCAGAACATTGAGGAAAAAGCCAATCATGAGGGCAGTTCTCGAGAAGGAAGATATGATCCGGAATTTCTGAAACTGCATGACACAGACTATCATTTAGATGAATAATAGAGCAGATATAAAATTAAGGCTTGGAGGTTAATTATCTTTCTTATTTAGTTTTCTTATGTGTCCTGGACAGGGAAAGAACCGTTATCAATTTATTTTTTATGCCAATTGTGCCCATGAAGTCTTGACTTTTGAGTGCTAAGTGCTGATGGATGAGAACCAAGCCAAAAAATATGAACTCTCACTCATGTTGCACTAGAAAGGTTTAGGGCTAGCATTATATAGCAAGACTATAAAAAGCCTTTAGTAGATAAGGAAAAAACTTGCAGAAAGCTATAGAAGAAATCAAGAAATGGAGTTATTACAAAAAAAAACATCATTTTCGAGCATGTTCTGGGGAATAAAGGGATGTTGGATAACCATGAAGTGGTTAGCTTAATGCAAGTCCAATATATTCAATGTGCTTCACCACTTCTTTCCTTAATTCAATTATATTCTTGCTCTGAGTCTTTGTAAATGTTGTTGCATTGCTTGGGACCATTTGTTGTATCACTTAGTACTTTATTAGTGAAGTATTGTGCATTTTACTGGCTTACAGAGCCACAGCAGATGTTCTAATTTTGTGTTTCCTCCCCCATTATTGTGGAATTTGAAAATTGTAAGCTTTCCTTAATCTATAAGGTTAATGGAATCGATCTCTTATCTGAACATTAACACCAGAGTTATAATCACTCTCTTATTTGAACATTAACACCAGAGTTGTATGTTCATGAAGCCTGGATCTGTTAGACTACTTGAGATACAGCTAGAACAAGTCTTATAAGAAATCCACAAGCACCGACTTCTAGAGGAAAGGCAGCAGTGCCAACAGAGAAGCAGAAGAAGACAAAGAAAGCAAAGGAGCAGCAGCAGAAAATAATAGAAGCAAGTGGTGAACACTGACAATAGGCAGGGGCAGGGCTGATTGACAATAGAAATCATATTGTGGTGAAGAGAGCCAGAAAGGGTAGCAGCCAAGATGACACTTTCAACTATTCTCTCTTGGGCATAATCTATGGGAAGACTTTCTGGTTACATATTTATCTAATCCACTAGCAAGTCTAATAGTCAGTTCTAAATCTATGCGCCTCCAACCCCATTCAACCTATGGGTAGACATTCAGGTTACAAAAAGATAATAAAGTAGTCATAATTTTAACGAGTTTTTCATTTATATTACAAAGCCGCAAAATAATGGAAAGACAGTTATGATAACTGCAGACAGAAATGATCAATTGACAAGGAAAGGTGGCCAGGAAATGAACACTTACAAATACCAAGGTCTCCCCAGCCACGATCGAGTATTCCACGTTGTCCAGTATCTTTTAATGCTTCCAATATGATACTGGTCGTTTTGCTGGGATCTTCAAGAGGCTATACATGATAAAATAATGAGTAAGAACACAGCAAGAACTCCTAAAGACAAAGTGGTTTAGGGTAAGATGTAAAACTACGGAGTAATATATTATCAAGCAATCCATAGTGCTTCTTGTTCTTACTTAAATTAAGTAGGGAGCTTCTTTTATTTTTTAAAATCCTTAAATTTGGTGGGATTTTGGCTATCCAAATCCAACAGAGTACAGCAGCTGTAGAAGGCTGGAAGTTTTCAATCAATAAAGAAAGTAAAGTACGAATATAAATGATAAAACCTAGAGGGTCCAGCTTTCACATGACAGAGAGGAACATCAACAACCAAGGGAAAAAAAATCACAGATGAAGCTGCAAAAGTGGCTTTTGTAACGAATGAATGGAACAGATTGCAGCCTCCACAATGTGATTTTTTTTTATATTTTTTAAATGAACACATTAATGGATTTTAGCCTTATTTTTGCTTTTTAAAATTTTAAGAAGTATTCTTTTAACACAATACAAACCAACCTACAATACTCCCTTTGTCCCAGATTACTCACATCATTTTGACTTTTTGCACTATTCACATACACCACCTAGAACATCTTTTTATGCTAATGAGAGATATGAAAACAAATACTAATATGTAGATGGTGTTGGGTTCATTTAATGTATATATTCAAAATATTATTCGTTTCATAACTTTATTACTGCAATTGATAATTATAGATCTTAATAGTCAACGTTTTGAATTGGCAACATGTCCAATCAAAGTGATGCAAGTAATATTGAAAAAAGGGGAAAATACAACAGGATTGTATATTTGGCTAATGAATAACTTGAACTTTAAATGCTCCAAACTTTATTATTACTCCATACGCCTTTTTTGTATGCACCATTAGTGTTCAACTGTTAATATTCACCATTACAGACGTGTCATGAAGGATGTGATTTTTATTGCGGCATTATATAACGGCATTTTGAAAAGTGGCAAGTTTTACATAACTGTTAGTGTTCATAGAAGGATTAAGGTGGTCTTACCATACTCCCAAATCCAATATAGATGGGTCTCTGCCCTTTCTTTATCCACTCAACAAATGCTCCCTTTGGTTGATACTTAGAACCAAGATTTAAGAAACAATAACCAACAACATCAACCAAGGGACCCCAATCTGTAAAACATAAGTACATTAGAGATCTAAAAGTAAGAAGTCCAACCAACAGAGAAAACAATAAACAACATTAAGCAGATATCTTGTCATTGCACCAATGGCTTGAATATGACATGGTTATTAAATCAATACAGTTACCTTTTGGTTTTGGAACAACATGAGGACTCCACATGTATCCTGTAGGCAAATGAGATATAGATCCATGGTACATGCTAAAGTATGCAATAGGAGGAAGTTTCAGCTTCCTTTTCCTGAAGTCATTGATATAGCTCCTTATGCCCCACCATATCAGCAAGTCAACAATTATGTATGACAACTGTTCAGGAGGTGCAAACAAAAAAAAAATGTTAGAGAAAACGAGTTGGGGTAAGAGAGGGCCAGGAAATATACCAATTACAGTAACATACCCAGTTACCATAGCTTTGTGGTACACGAGCCAGTGGATGTGGGAACTCATACGTTGGCCTGCCTATTATAAAGAAGTGTAAGGAGAAATTATAACATATTACAATTTTTTCAGGAGCACATGAAAAATTGCTACTCCCTCCTTCCACAATTAATAGTCTTCTTTCTCTTTTGCAAAAGTTTTAGAAAGCTAAAAGAAATGTGGGGTTCAATTAATTAACGCTGAATATATAAAATAAGATAGTGGAGTTTGGTTGAATAAAAGTAACTATAAATAAGATGGGGGGGCTTGGTAGGTTATATATGAATAAAAACAAAATAGATAAATGTGAAATGGGACCTTTATTTAGGGACAAGGTTTTTGGTTGAAATGGAACTTTTATCTAGGGACAGAGGTAGTGATTAGTAATGATATGAAGATATTTCATTTTTCAGGTAAAAGTAAACATGTTCACAAAGAAGTATTGACAGACTGCCTGAAGTAGTGAACTGCATATGCATGTCGATATTAGTAAAATCCCTAAATCCCTTTTAACACATGCCTCAATATGCTACATCAAAAAATTGATCTGGAGTTCAAATATAAGGATGTGCCCAAGAAGATTCTTGTGCTCATTTCCAAAATGTGCAACAAGAAGCCTGTAAAGAAAGCATTGCCCATTTTTTCAAACCCAGCTGATTTTGCTAAATTACCCACATTAATAGCTGCTAGAAATATCTGCCTTACCAAGTGTCCTGAATTACCTATTTCAAAGCTGTTTTGACACATGGAACCAGAAATTTTTCAAATTTGGCTTGGGCTTAAAGGACAAGGTAGATCCGATATATGATCTTAATGTATTCAGTTTTTATATGATCTTTCAGATTAGCTATAGATTGCTCGGACTAAGTATAGAGCAAACTTTTGGTGGATTTAAAATTTCTTCTCCCTTTTTTACAGTATTACATCTTCAAGCAGATGCTAAAATACAGACAGCATGCATCGACACTTTACAAAAATATAAGTTCCAAATTCATGGTTTTGGGTCTATCTTGGCCTCCCCCTGCCCCCCTCCCCCATTAACTACTCCAAGAAACCCACTTGTGGCGCAGAGACAATGTACATCCAATTTAATAAGATAATACAGGTGAAGTGTGAAAACTTACGTCCATGGCATTGTGAAGAATATGTGTAGAGGTACACCAAGAGCTTCTGCAGCATGCACATGCCCTGCAATATATATCAACTTATTATTAGACTACCTTATAAGAGAAATAAAGAAAATGATCAAAAGTGCCTATCAGACAACAAATGAACCCCGTTATGACAAATTGACAAATGCTCACAATGCATAGACAGCTTCAAGATATGTATACAACCAACTCTTCCAGGTACACTTTTGCTCACATTCAATTATAGACTATGTTGCTCAAAGCAGTTGAGCAGTTAATCAGTTGATGTATTTTCCTATATAATATATCATCTATCTTTTATGTTATGCATGTTAAGAATAAAGTTTTATTACAAAGGTTCACTAGTTACCACTGGCTAGTAAACTAGTACTCCCTCGGTCCCCTATTGATAGTCCCTTATGGGCATTTTTCACGGGAATTAATAAACACACATAAGAATAGTTAAAGTACATTGAAAAAGTAAATTAACATTGGGTATGCAAAAAAAAAAAAAGAGGGAGAAAGTAATAAAAGTACATGGGAAAACAAAATTTACATGGGAAAGTTAAACTTGCACAAATATTGTTGCAAATTGGAGGGAATTTTGGTAAAAATTTAATTTAATGGTTGTTGGAAAAAACAAATGGGGTGAACATTTTGGGACTAAAATGTGTCCATAAGGGACTATCAAAAGGGGACGGAGGGAGTAGTATTTTATTGATATTTCATCCTTATAAGTGACAACTAAGATTGCACTAAATACTTTAAAGTGACGACAATAAAAAATTAAAAATTAAAAAAAAACGTCAATTGGATAGAAAATATAGAACGGAGGAGCACAAATATCTAAGCAAAGTTCAAGACCATGTTATGTGGTTCCAAAATTTTAAAACAATGTTGGTATCAGTTGCAAGTCTTGCAACCACTATAAAGAAGCTATAAAGGTATATATCCCTGCATCCAACCACAACCCTGAAATAATAAAATATCACAGAAGGATTTGAGACATTTACGATAGAAAGCTATTATCAAACTCCAGCAATAACTTGATAATTGGGAACGTCACATTCATATATGATGCGTCAACACTCATTTTTCAAGCCTGTCATGACTCATGAGCTTACCATAAGCAGGAGGATTAGCAATGATTGCTTGAGCTCTAAAAGGCATGCTAGTCTCTGTATCTGGTTCTGTACATGCAGGAAGAAGTGATTCTATAATAGCCTTCAATTGCTTCCGTTGAATTGAAATTTCTCCTGGGGCAGAGGGAATAAGCCCCTTATTTCTTGCCATATCTGATTCCCGGAAAGCAATGGAAAAAAGCTATCTCAGTGGTCTAAAAGATTTAGATGCAACAAAAAACAAGCTACCATGTAACAAATGGGCGTGATAATAAATGACGAGCTACAGCATCTATGCAATGCAAACAAAATTTCTAACTATTTTCTAAGGGCTTGTTTGGCATTGTTTTTTGTTTTTAGTTTCCGGTTTTTTGAAAACTAAAAACCAAAAACAGAAAACAAGAAAAAGGTGTTTTCACTTTTCTGTTGTCAGTTTTCAAAATTATCATGATTTTAATAAGTTTGACTAATTTTTGATTCATTATATGATATATATCATATGATTTTAAAAAACAAAAACAGAAAACCACAGTGATACCAAACGAACCCTAAACAAATAGTTATGTGTAGAGTCATGCAACGTTGATGTAGAAACAATTTGTATAATTGTATATAGACCACAAAATCAAAGTATAGTATTCAATTTTATTAAAAACATTATTCATAAGAAATTGGAAAAATTGTATGATTTGGTAATTGTTGAAAGGCCATGCAGAATGCAGACATAGGCTAAGTGTTAGAATCCAACCTCTTTGTTATGTATTCTTCTTTATTTTCCTTATATTTTCCTTATGTAATGTCTCTTTAGTCTTTCTTTTTATTTTTCTAGACCCTAGGGAGAATTATTGTGTTACTGTCATTTCAACGTTCACTTGTAATTCTCTACTAATGCAATATAAAGCTCTTTAGGGAGCGAATGGTTATTCAATCAAAGCTCTCTACCCCGTTGTTATTGCTTTAAGACTTGTGTGTTGTTTAAGCCTTTATAGATATTGTGCTTGCCTTGTTTTAAAGCATCCCCCATCAAACCAAGAGACCCTAGAGACGTCCTCATTTTCGTCGGTTCCGCTTGTGCCCGCTTCGAAGTATCGGCCGTCACAAGCCCCGACTCCGCACTCGTTGTTCTCGTGCGCCCTCTTGAGACACCGTAGGTCCGTGTTGCTGTGTGCTCACGAACCTCCTTGCTTTAGGCTTGCGCCCTTGTCGCCAAAAGACGAGAGCGCGCCGCACGATCTGGTGTTGAATCACTCGGACCGTGACAGTTTGGTATCAGAGCCAAGTTTGCCGTAGAGATGGCAGAAGAAGAAGAGATGCATGAATACACATTCGAGGAAAGACTTGCTTGGCTTGAAGGCAAGTCCGAACAGTGGGCTATGCTTGAAGAAAGGCTGCCCAAACTCGAGGATATTGTAATAAAACAAGCCGACCAAATAGAGAGGCTTGCCGCTACTGTGGATGGGTTAACGGAGCAACTTAACTTCGTGCAAGGCGTCGCTGATGAAGCACATGATAAATGTGCAATCTTAATGCGTGCCCAGAGAGGGCTCGGGGGAAGTGGAGGTGCCAAGATAAAACCTCCCAAGCCCCGGACCTTCAATGGCACGAGAGATTCAAAAGAAGTCGATAATTTCATTTTCGACATGGAGCAATACTTTCGGGTCTGTCAGTTGGAGAATGAGTTAAAAGTTGATACCGCCACTATGTATTTGGTGGATGATGCAAAGCTTTGGTGGCGCACCAAGTACACCGACATCCAAGCTAAGAGGACGTCAGTGGATACTTGGGAGGATCTGAAGAAAGAGCTGATGGCCCAATTTTATCCCGAGAATACCGAGTTTGTTGCTCGCACCAAGCTCGCTGCTTTGCAGCATAAGGGTTCCATCCGGGAGTATGTCAAAGAGTTTTCAGCGTGCATGTTGGAGATCCACAATATGTCCGAGGAAGATCGCCTATTCAACTTTGTGCGTGGTCTTAAGGAATGGGCCCAAAGAGAAATTTGGCGCCAAAAGATTGATACTTTATCGGGAGCCATCGCTGCAGCCGAAAGGTTGATGGACTACTCCTCAGAGAAAGGACAAGGTTTGAAGAAAGGGAATAGCGGGCCGACACCGAACCCTCCTAGGAACTCCGGACATGGCTCGCAAGTGAGCTCCAACAACTCGAACAATAGATACAATAGGAGTGGGGGAGAAGACTCTCGGAAAAGTGAAGCTTCTTCCTTCTCTAGTAGAGGAAGCACCCCTAGTTCATCTTCGACAGCCAGGCCATTGACGTGTATCCTTTGCAGAGGACCGCACAAGTGGTTTGAATGTCGACACAAGGGAGAAATTGACAATCTCCAAAAGAAACTGTCCTCCATGTCCTTAGAAAACCCCGAGGGTGAAGAAGCCGATGAGGTAGTACCTAGTGAAGGGGAACATTCCAGACTGGGGGCCATTCGCATGATGTGCGCTATGGGAAGAGAAGGCTCTGAGGGCCAACCCAAAAACTCTGGATTGATGTATGTGAATGCGTTGGTAAACGGAAAGGAAACTCGTGCCATGGTGGATACCGGTGCTACCCACAACTTCATTTCAGAAAAGGAGGCAAAAAGACTTGGGTTGAAGCTCCTACCAGAAGGAGGCAGTATGAAAGCGGTGAATTCAGTTGCCAAACCGATCCACGGCGTTGCCAAGAAAGTAACAATGAAGCTGGGAGATTGGAGCGGACAGGTGGACTTTACCGTTGCGCCAATGGACGACTTCAGCTTGGTGCTCGGCATGGACTTCTTACACTTTAGTAAGGCAGTCCCGATGTCGCATCTTAGATCTATTCTGGTGCCCGGGCAGCAACCATGTCTCCTCCGAACCTGCGATTCGGGAAAAGGGCCGAAAGGGCCCCTCCTTTCAGCAATGCAATTGGAGAAGGGGTTGAAGAGGAACGAGCCCACGTTCCTAGCAACACTTTCCACGAAGGAAGATGAAGCAAGTGGAGACTTTCCGCCTGCAGTTGCCGAGCTACTATCAGAGTTCCAGGATCTCCTCCCGAAAGACCTATCAAAAGTTCTCCCACCTAGAAGGACAGTGGACCATGAGATTGAGCTGGTTCCAGGGGCGAAACCCCCAGCACGAAGCCCTTATCGCATGGCCCCCCAGAATTGGCTGAACTCCGGAAACAATTGGAGGACTTGCTTGAGGCAGGCTTCATCCGCCCATCAAAGGCTCCTTATGGGGCTCCTGTGCTTTTTCAGAAAAAACAAGATGGAAGTCTTCGATTGTGTATCGACTACCGAGCATTAAATAAGGTTACGGTGCGCAATCACTACCCTATCCCTTTGGTGGCGGATTTGTTCGATCAGTTAGGGGATGCAGTGTACTTTACAAAGCTAGACTTGAAGTCTGGCTATCACCAAGTTCGTATCGCCGAAGGAGATGAACCAAAAACTGCTTGTGTGACGAGATACGGGGCATACGAATGGCTAGTCATGCCCTTTGGCTTGACGAATGCACCTGCTACGTTCTATACTCTGATGAACCAAGTATTTCGAGAGTACTTAGACAAGTTTGTGGTCGTGTACCTCGATGACATCGTTGTCTACAGCAAGACTTTGGAGGAGCACCTCGAGCACCTAAGATTGGTCTTCGAGAAGCTGAGAGAACATCACCTTTTTGTGAAATAAGAAAAGTGTGCCTTTGCGCAGGAAGAAGTCGGATTTCTTGGACACTTTGTGGGGAAGGGTCGATTGAGGATGGACCCAAAGAAGATATGTGCTGTTCGCGATTGGCGGGATCCCAAGAACCCCTCTGAGCTGCGATCCTTTCTAGGACTGGCGAACTATTATAGGAGATTCATTAAGGGATACTCAGAGATCGCAAGTCCCCTCACCGACCTATTGAGGAAAGATTGTCGTTGGGAATGGTCAGGGCCCAGAAGGAAGCTTTCCAGAAGTTGAAAGAAGCAATGGTGAAGGAGCCGGTCCTTGCCCTTCCAGACATAACCAAACCATTCGTGGTCGAGACGGATGCTTCGGATTTTGCTTTAGGAGGAGTGCTCCTCCAAGAAGGACATCCTATTGCATTCGAAAGTAGGAAGCTGAATAATGCGGAGAGAAGGTATGCGGCACAAGAAAAGGAGCTACTAGCCATTGTGCACTGCCTAAGAGGATGGAGGCACTACTTGTTGGGGTCAAAGTTTACCGTCCGCACAGACAACACCGCGGCGAGTCACTTTCTCACCCAACCCAAGCTGACAGGAAAACAAGCTCGGTGGCAGGAGGACTTAGCTGAGTTCGACGTGGAGTTCACCTATAGAACGGGATCCAGCAATAGAGTTGCCGATGCCCTGAGTAGGCGGGCCGATCTTGCTGCGATGTACAAGTTAGCGCCAATGACGGCAAGCAGCATTGCCACATCCGTTAGAGATCAAGTTTGTGCTTATCTCCCACATGATCCGATGACAAAAACCATAACAAGGATGATTGAAGAAGGGAAGACTAGACGCTTTTGGTTGGAAGATGGCCTCATCTTCACCAAAGGTACAAAGCTGTTCATCCCCAAAGCAGGGGGATTGAGGATATGTTGTTGAAGGAATGCCATGATACGCTGTGGGCGGGACATCCAGGTTGGCAGAGAACCCTCAGTCTACTCGCGATGGGGTACTACTGGCCAGGAATGAAGGAAGATGTGATGAGCTACACCAAAACCTGCCTTGTGTGCCAGCAAGACAAGGTTGACAGACAGAAGCCCGGGGGCCTCCTTGAACCTCTTCCTGTACCAACTCGACCGTGGGAGAGTGTGTCGATGGACTTCATTAGTGGCCTCCCGAAGGTTGGCCAGTTCTCTTCTATCATGGTGGTGATAGAAAGGTTCTCAAAATACGCAACGTTTGTACCCTTGCAGAAGGCTTGCGGAGCAGAAGAAACGACATCTCTCTTCTTTAAGCATATTGTGAAGTACTGGGGATTGCCAAAGAGCATAGTAAGCGACAGGGATACCAGATTCACGAGCATATTCTGGTCTGAGCTATTCCAAATGATGGGGTCTGACCTCAACATGTCGTCATCTGATGGGATGGGCAGACAGAGAGATTCAATGGGGTTCTCGAGGAATACTTACGTCACTTTGTGAGCGCCAACCAGAAAGATTGGGTGAGACTCTTGGACGTCGCACAACTTTGCTTCAACGCTCAAAGGAGTTCTTCTTCCAACAAAAGCCCCTTTGAGTTGGTCATGGGTCAACAACCTCTCCTCCCGCACACAGTGGCTGACTGGGAGGGCGGTAGGAGTGCTCAGGCTCGAGATTTTACAAGAGAGTGGAAGCAAAACACCGACATTGCAAAAGCCTACCTAGAGCGAGCATCGCGCCGGATGAAGAAATGGGCTGATCAAAACAGAAGGCCAGTTGATTTTGCTATTGGGGAGAGATCGTCGCCTCATTCGGAAATATGAAGGCCCCATCCGCATCACTAAACGGATTGGGAAGAACGCATACAAGGTAGAACCGCCTGCGTGGATGAGGATTCACCCCGTCTTCCACGTTAGTCGTCTAAAACCCTACCATCCAGATCCCGACGACAGCAACCGCAACGTCAGCTACCACGCCAACATCAGAACCAGGACAAGAGCCACCCCTACAACAGAAGACTGAAGCTGCTAAGATCTTAGTGTAGATTTTGTAAGTCGACGAGGACGTCGACGACTTAAGTGGGGGAGGATGTTAGAATCCAACCTCTTTGTTATGTATTCTTCTTTATTTTCCTTATATTTTCCTTATGTAATGTCTCTTTAGTCTTTCTTTTTATTTTTCTAGACCCTAGGGAGAATTATTGTGTTACTGTCATTTCAACGTTCACTTGTAATTCTCTACTAATGCAATATAAAGCTCTTTAGGGAGCGAATGGTTATTCAATCAAAGCTCTCTACCCCGTTGTTATTGCTTTAAGACTTGTGTGTTGTTTAAGCCTTTATAGATATTGTGCTTGCCTTGTTTTAAAGCATCCCCCACCAAACCAAGAGACCCTAGAGACGTCCTCATTTTCGTCGGTTCCGCTTGTGCCCGCTTCGAAGTATCGGCCGTCACAAGCCCCGACTCCGCACTCGTTGTTCTCGTGCGCCCTCTTGAGACACCGTAGGTCCGTGTTGTTGTGTGCTCACGAACCTCCTTGCTTTAGGCTTGCGCCCTTGTCGCCAAAAGACGAGAGCGCGCCGCACGATCTGGTGTTGAATCACTCGGACCGTGACACTAAGGCTACAATTTCTTCTTTAGTCAAAAAGTCACTATTGTCTATACTCAGTACCTGCAAATAGTGGAAGTCTAGTAATACCTCAAAGTCATGATACTTCCCATTCCACGAATGTTTGACACAGTCACAGATCACAGAGCAAAAAAATAAACCATTGTAATTTTTGTAAAAAACTAACAACAATATCAAATGGAAATTAGTGTAGTTTTGAAAACATTCAAGATTATCAGTGTTGACAATAGTGTCAAACAATAGAGGATGTCTAGCATGCATTAATTCTCCAATCACAGGTAAAAACCCAGAGACCATTTGAAACTCGCTGATATGCAAAACACCACATTGCTTACAAACCACAATTATAATGAGGCAAGAACATGAAAAGTGAACTATTTGGATTGAAAAAAAATATATATATATTGAGCTTTAGACAAGCTAGTCTCTGTTATAATCAATCTGACTTTAGCCATGGCTCACATTTATAATCTGGTACCATGGTCATATGGATCAGTAAGCTATAATGGATGTATAAAACAAATATTAATAGAGCTATTGACTTTTGGTCTTTTGCAATCAATACAAACAAAATCAAGGTCAATCTTTAATTCTTTAGGATAGCTATTCCTAGTCGATGCTCAGCTCACAAAATAACTCACGGAGGCCAACTGTAAAACAGTAATCAGCAGATAAAGCTATAAGGGGGTAGATGATAAAGCTAATGAAGCAGAAAAAAAAAAAAAAAAAAAAAAAAAAAAAAAAAAAAAAAAGAAGAATAAAAGATCTGAGACAACTTACATCCTGCCAGAACTCGAGGATCACCACCTAAGGGATAGAATTCAACACCAGCAGATTTGACAAAATCTCTAAAGTTGGCATGCGTAGCCAATCGAACACGATGACCAAATTCCTGCACGTAGAATAGATGAACTTTTAGCCCCGTAAATTTGCAAAAGACTTACAAGAAAGACCCACATTAACAAGGAAAACAATGCACGAAGATATGCGACAAAATTTAGTAACAGCACACTTAGTCTCTCTTGACAAAACACAATACCGATATAGTTAGTAATATAGCCAACTATGATCAAAGTGAGCAATTTCAGCAAAGGCGTAATTCTGCAAGCTTTAAAGCAGCATGAATAAGTGCAAATCAAGAGAAGAAAAAGGTATATTTCTCACATCTCATTGTCAGTGAAGGGTTCTAGGATAAAAAAACTCAATTACTCACACAGGTAATCCAAAATATGATCAAAGTGAGCAATTTCAGCAAAGGCGTAATTCTGCAAGCTTTAAAGCAGCATGAATAAGTGCAAATCAAGAGAAGAAAAAGGTATATTTCTCACATCTCATTGTCAGTGAAGGGTTCTAGGATGAAAAAACTCAATTACTCACACAGGTAATCCAAAATAATCATGTCACATAAGTATGTAATGTTGGATATTCATGCAACACTCCAAACACTCCCCCAACTCCTAGCCAAATAAAATTTTAGCAGTATGAAGCAGTCAGTCTCACAAAGTTCTGACTAGTCCCCCATCCCTCGTTGATCGCACACAGAAACTTAATTTTCACCAGAAGGGCGGAAGTTAGTTTGAGGTGCAAACAAGTTAACTAGTTAAAGGTCACTCCAAACATTACTTCCAACCCACACACACACACAACAAAATTCCCTTTCAGATGTACGAAAGTTCATTGTTGGTACATTTTGTAAGCTAAAAGCATGATCATCAACAATCAGTTAAAAGAGCATCTAACAAAAAAGAGACAAATTTGATTAAAGCTTGTGAGCCTGCCTGAAGTCTCTTTGCCATAGCTAGAAAAGGTTGAACATCTCCTCTTGTCCCAACAACAAGAAAGGCAATTTGCAATCTTGGTACAGATTTATTGTGATTAGGAACAATTTCATCAGCAGGAAGAGAAGCACTTTCAACAGAATGAAGCTCCAAAAGCTCAGAAGTTACAGACGAATTTCTAGATAAATCCACCTCCACAGTTCCATCATTCTGTATTTTGACTAAGTTTGCAATAAGCTTTTCCTGAGATTAACAAGAACAATAAACATCATCAATGATACAGCAACTCCATGCAATCTGTACGTCTGAAAGCTACTAGCAGAGGAAAATTTACAATGAGTTTTGACTTCTTTAAGGTACAATGAATGTAAACTTAAGAAAGCAGGACTCTTTTAAAAGTAGCAAATAAATCAACATTATACCCATCAGCTCATTACCAGAAAAAATAAATAAATAAATAAATATCTCATAGTGCCTGCACGCTGCATCTGACAAAGAAATATATGGTATAAAGACATAATTTATTATTTAAGGGGATAAGGTCTTTACTATCTCAAAGCCTTTGAGTCCATAACTAGTCAATCGGAATAAAAATGATAACTTTCTGAAACAAATTCCTGGAAATTGACATTCCAATTTAATAAATAATAACCTTTGATGATAATCTCAGTTTAAATACTACTACTTTTGAAATTTGTTCCACTTGGACATTTTACATCAACAGAGTTGATTCTTCCATAAAACCTCAATGATGAAGACAGCTCGTTGTACCTTGTATGTTTAGTAAATTTAGAAAAACAATAATTATTAAATCAGGTACATTGATTTCAATGAGCCTACCGTCCCTGTACATTTTGACAACATTGATCATTAGCCAATTCTAGCTATAAAACACATTGTCACTAAATGAATAGAAACAGGTGCTAACTTTAGGTTTGAAAAGACACCTGCAGTAGCAGATATATTCAACTTATATTACCTTATCATGCTGTGATAGTCTATCCAATCTCATATCATGTCTTCTGCTATCCTGATGACTCTTAGACTTGCTCATTATGATGTCTTTTTTATCAACCAATAAACTTTTATGGGCTTCAATACCACCTGAAGGTGCTGTAATACTGTGATCCAACACTGCCAGGAGAGATATTGAGCATTGTAAGAACATCAGTGCAGATATGAGTGAGATCACACTGCTTAAAGGTTAAAGGTTTTTATACTTTTATAATAACAAGTTATATAAGTATTTTTCAGGTATCCAACTCTGACTGCTGAACCACTTTTTTACAATGGCTAATAATACAAAAGACCACCGCCCACATTATGTACAAGTTTAAAAGCACATGGTCCTTGAAATACATGATAGCGACCTTATAGGATTTTGAATGAGATTCATTTACGGTGTGTTTGGATTGAAGCAAATGGAGGGAAAAGAAGGTAGAGAAATGGAGAGATTAGGCATCTTTCATTTGGATAACAAATGAGGGAGGAAGGGAATTGGAGGGGAGAGAACTGCAGGGATTAAATTGTAGGAAATTCATCCCTCCAACAATGGAGAGATTTGGAAGGAAAACCCACCATTCTTCCCTCCCTTCCCTTTCCCTCCTCTCCTCTTCTCCTCCCTCCCCTTCTTTTCCTTCCCCTTTCTCTATCCAAACACACTGTTAATGAAAGTAGATAGCTCCAACAGCAGTGCCTCTTCACAAATTCCCAGATTGAACATCTATAGTTCATAATAACAGATACAGCAAATTTGACATTTGGACCTCAGGATACAAAGTCTAAGTATCTACAGCACAGGTCAAGACGATTGACTAGCTAAGTATTCTAATCAAATTACTAAAAACGGAGTTCAAGAATAAAAGAAGGAATTGAAAAGTTGAAGATAGAAATCTATAGAAGAATATATTCCAATACATTCCTTTATAAGAAAGATACAAGCCAGAAATTAACTTTTGTACATTCGATCTACTAAACTGAGGTACTGCGTAGCTATGGATCAAACTCCAACGAAAGTAAGACTTTTTTTTTGTTTTGTTAGGAAAGAAATTATTTTTACATAAGCTTCAATACAAAACCAAGACAGCTGCCTTGCAGAAAATAATATACCAAGCTCTGTAAGATAAATGAAAAACTGATTAAATCAAATTGAGATTTAAACGATTATTTATGTTTCATGTTACTGTTAGAATTAATTCTTTGGGGAAGACCAATCATATAATATAGTCATTGTATCCGTTCTAGACTTTCTAGTACTTCTCACGATCATGAATAACCACAATATGTATATGAATGATATTATTTTTTACCTCTGTTGGCTACAAGGTGAGGAACAGTGATTAGCCAACTACATGATATCCAAGACTCCTTCATAACACTAGAATTAGAGACAAGGGCATATTATAATGGATGTAACTGTCAATAACTTAATTATGCACTTGCTTTGTCTATACCCTTGCACAGGATGACCTCAACAATTTCTAGACTAAATACTAATACAACTGTACAACAAGATTCCGACTGAACTCGAAACTAGCTCCACAGCTATCATCTGACTAAACTCAAATTTAGCTCCACAAGTCCACAACATTATTCTCACTAAACTCGGACTTTCCAACCAAACTCGAACTTAGCACCATGGCATCATTATTATTCTGACTAAACTCGAACTCTCCTACAGTCCTACTAAACTCGAATTTAGCTCCACGGAAATATTCTGACTACACTCGAATTTAGACCACAACTATGCTCTAACTAAACTCGAAATTTGTGACTAAACTCGAATTTAGCTCCACATATAACATTATGACTAAAGTCGAACTTTCCAACTAAACTTGAATGTAGCTGCCTATCAACAAAACTTTCCAACTAAACTCGAATTTAGCAACACAACAAAGTTTAACAAAACAAAATGATCACAAAAGCAATAACAAGAAATATACCTCTTTTTGGAGGATTGGAATGAATTTCTGGAAGTGAAGATTGCCTCAAATAATGCACATGATGATCTTTCTTCACATCATCATTATTATGTAAGACTTTATTGTCTGCCTCGGAATCGGCAACAACTCGAATTTCATGTTCCTCAACAATGCTAATTTCTTCCCCAATATCATATCTTTCTTCTAAATTACTTGCCTGATTATAACACCCTTTATTCTCCATTTCAATTATATCATACACAATTTCTCAAGCTAATACCCAAAATTGCCCACAAAAATCAGAAGCAAACCCAAAAATTTAAATATCAAAAAATTGAAGAATTTAACCCAAAATCTTAAATATAATTAAAACCCAATTCAACCAGAAAAATTCAATTGAATAAACTAAAAAAATAAATTAATTGAACCAATCAAACATAAATCCCCTGAAACAGTAGATATGGCCAGAGTTTAAACCGCTAGTCAAAATCAAAGTATAAAAAGACTATTAGGTGCAGCAACTTTTCTGCGTAAATTTAAATTTGCAACCCAAAAAAAAAAACACAATCTTTATAAAAAAAAATTCCCAGAAAAGTGGGGGTTTTGAAGTGGGTTTTTATAGAATTAATTACTCCATACTTTTGTATTATTGAGAAGTTTAAATTGTATAGTTGTAGGCTAGTTTTAGGAATTGAATTATTTTTTTTGTTTTATGCTGCAAATTGTAATTTACAGTAATTTTTTAACGAGAGAATTGGGGTGATGATAATTGGAGTAAAAGGAGAATAATGATTGGGGTATTCGTATTGGACATGCCAACGACCACGTTTGTGTAGCAGTGCCCGTGAGTTAACTTGTATGGAAATTATGACGATAATGTGCAATGCATATGTAGGCCCACAATCAAGCTCCCCCACCTCTTAGCTGTCAGATTTGGTGTGCAAGCCGGGTTCGGAATAGGTCTTGTCGGATTGAGTTTATAATGGATCAACACTTGAGAGTAGAGGGGCAAATAAGGGGGTCCTCTTACTCCCAGGTATATGTAAATAATAGGTTTGAACTTTACAAAATTGAGTTTGTAACGCGTCAACACTTGAAAGTAGAGGGGTAAATAAGGAAATCCTCTCATTCCTAAGCATGTGTAAAAGATAGGTTCGAATTTTACAGATTGAGTTCCCTCTCATCTCCACCAGGAAGCTTGAAGTTTGGTTTAACGAATTTAGGATATGCTAATTCAATTTGTCAAGTTATATATGCAAATCGAATTCAAGAATAGGTCACATTGTGTTTGATCAAATTATTTTTTATAGCTCTAGATAGAAGCACTGGAGTAAACTTATTACTCTTTTTTTTCTGTTTAATTCTCTTTTTCCAATGTAAGACATGATAGTGTATTCGGCAAGGCTTTAAGGGTCTGTTCTCATACGTTTATTTTCGGTTCAGTTCAGCTCCTAATTTCCTTCTCTTATAAAATATTCATTTCAGTTCAGTTCAGCTAAATTCAGTTCAGTTCAGCTGATTTCAGTCTATTAGAACAGACCCTTACTGCCTTCGACAAGGCTTTTGGTCTTATACATCTTTTTCTAATACTTCCGCACAACCTGCCTCTCTATTACTATTCTCCATTCAATTTCACTCCAAAAATGTATGAAAAAAGTTTGATTAAATTTCAATCTTCTCTTGAATGGAAATAGTTGATTGATAATTTTCTTCCCTTTTCCAATATTTTTTTGTGCCCAAATTCTTATCCATATGCACTTGCCAAAAACATCTCTTAATCAATTTTCAACAAATGGATATCTTCCCCCTTCAATTTCTGTGGGATTTGTTTCATGGCAATATTGCATTTTCTATGTAGAACCCTCCCTTCATGCTAGACCTGGCAAATGGGTCGTTCACATCAGGTCAATTTCAGGTCGAGTACGGGTTGAGCCGGGGTCATTTCGGGTTTTTGGTATGATTGGGATCATGTATCGGGTGAGTTCAGGTTGAGTCATTTCTTGTGAAACCATTTTCGGGTCAAGGAAGTTCAGGCCATATTCGAGTCAGGTCAAGTTAATAATTTTATATTTTGTTATTGTTATAGTAAGAATTATCAATTCGGTTTATGAGCTTAGCTACAGTTGAAGAACAATTTGAGTTATATTTGGCACCTGACATTTTTAATTCAATTATAAAGTAATTTTAGCTCGAGATATTTTGGATGTCGGGTCTGTTCGTGTCAATTTCCGATATCGGGTTTGTTCGGGTCAAACACTTCGGGTCAATTTCAGATCGGGTGAACTTTGGGTCGGGTTTGTTCCGATATTATGCCAGGATTGGGTCAACTCTATTTTTGGGTCGAGTATGGGTCGAGTCGAGTCATTTCGGGTCAATATCAGATCATGGATCTGGTTCAGAATTGGCAGGTCTACTTCATGCCCGTCTACTTCATGCCCTCCAGAAGTCCATATCTTAACAAATTTACTTCATTCTTTTTATTAATTTGACCGCCATATGTTTTTTTTAGATACTATTGGTGAATAATGGTGATTGTTTATTACAGGGTCACACAGAATGTGGAATGCCAATGGTAGTAATTCATTTCGTTGATGTCTATTAAGATACGATTCGAAGTAAACAAAAAAATATGTAATTGCTGTTCATTGTTAAGCTTTATGTTTATGGGTGATACGCTGGTTAAACATGTAAATGCTAGACAAAGCTGAAATAATTAAAACCACCTTATCAGGAGATCTGTATGAGTACATATGTACATCATTCTATATTCCTGAATACTGTTAAAATTTATATCTCTACACAAAGCATGAAGAAAAGCATTCAACTGGTAAAAAAATTCCTCTATACAGGCGAAAAATGGAGTTGCCCACTTTGACGAGACAAACCCTAGCTAACTTATACATTTACAGAATCAAACAGGCTACTCCGAGAAAGACAACCTCAATTTACATAGGAGATGATAGATCTCAGGCATCAGTTGCAAACTTGCAATTTGCTCAATACCTAGTTCAATGGCTCAATGCCCCTGCAGAGAAAAGATCAAATTAAAAGTTTTTATTTTTAAGAAAAAACTATAAATACAAGAATGGAAGACAAATCCTCATGAATCATAACGGCAAAAAAGACGACATATTAGTCCAACTACATTGAAAATCCACCGCCTGAGTAACTTATAAATAAACCCTGCTGCCTTAGCCAACAAAGAAGCTAAACAGGTTATCCTCTCCCACAGCTAAAAACTGCTTAAAACGACCTGTGAAAATTCAAAGTCTGTTCTAAACACTTTAGGAGAATATTAAAACCAAATCATAGCCGTATATATCTTGATTAACTAGCAGTGCTACTATTCTTCAATAGATAGGGTAAACTTTGCATGTTAACACATCTGAAAGCAGGTCTGCTAAAAAGATTCAATATGGGTATATACTGTGCAGTAATAGCAACAGTAGAAAAAACATTTAATTTAGATTGTACTTGTAATAGTTATTGGTATCAAATCTGAAAAAATATTGGATTAATAGCGCATCTATATTCTAAAGGAACAAGTAATAGCGCATTGATATCTACTTAACCATGATCCAATTACGAGGAAATATCTGGCCAGCAAATCAACCACTTCTACTGATCAAATTTCTCGCCGAAACAGGTAGAGGTCCACCTGGGAGGGTAAAGTGGGGATGAAAAATTTGAAACCCTCCGCACAACAGGAACATGACAGAGAAACCAGCAACTCACCTCCTGATCCTCTTTTTGTTAATATCATACTAGTAATATAAGAGTAGCATATCAAGTTCTAAGGACTAGAATACTGTGTCATTATTGTTATTGTATACTTCTGTACACTAATAATGAACTGCTAACTGACACTATTACCACCCAATAGACAAACATCAACAGTAACATAGATAATAACACAGTTTGGGGATTTCGTTTTATAAAAGTTGCACGACCTCCTGATCCTTTAAAAAAGAGAGCCTTTCCAACAGTTAGATGACTTAGATCCACATGCAACTCATTCCCTAGTTGTTTCCACTTTTCTTAAACCAATTAGCATTATTGTAAGAGCCAGACATTTCAGCTTATGTGCTTAGTCATTTCCTTCATGATTTTCAGTAAATAAAAATTCATCCTAATTTATCAAGAGAGAAAAAAAAATAAAAAAATCAAAGAGCGAGCTTATCTATACCTGACATTCAAGAAGCTGTTCAATTATGTGTTTGTCCAAGTCTCCAACTACAACTTGTCCTCAGGTCTAGAAAGTTTCTTGGACCGAAACTTTGATGACTTGATTACATCAATTAAAGTAGCATCCTCGTCTACTTCATCCTGCTCATCTTCCTCATTAGGAGCTTCCTGGTCTGACGAACTAATTCCATCCTCTTCCCCACTTGAACTCTGCTCATCAAATAATTTTTTCCCCTGGAGATTACGCTGCTTGGGTGGTCGGCCTTGACGTCTTAAAGATGCTGCTTCTTTCTCATCAGCACCTGAAATCACATTCCACGTCGTCAATAATATGGATTAGCAAGCTTTCTCAATTATTATCATAGCAGTTCTATTTTACTAATTCAGCTGCAAGCTAACCTTGGTAGCTTTACTTTTTTCTTTTTCTTTTTTTCTTTTTCTTTTTTTTTTAAGGAAAACCTCACTATCATCTTAAATAGCTTATATAATGGAAAGCAGCATCATTCAACCTATCCAGGGGAACAGAAAAAAGATTTCAATTAATGGCCCGTAAATATTTCATACTACAGTATTTTCATACTATTATGATATGTTTATTTAGTCATTGAACTTTTACTTAAATAGATAATTCCATCATGCAACATTTTGTCAATTTGACAAACTTAACTAGTTACATACTGTAACTAACAAGACAACAAAAGAAAGCGGACAAATAGTGAGTGCAAAATGGAGTGTGTGTGTGTGGGGGGGGGGGGATGATAGATTTGAGGGTTTAGCTAAAACAAGTCAACCTAGAACATGTTGGTTGACACATTACACACCATGTTACTTTGGGTTAGGTATTGTGTAAGATTACAATTTGACTATATGGACAGGTTATCTAGTCAATTGAAACTTTTCCAGGGTACTTGCCTCAAATGAAATTTCCAGGATAAAAAACAAACATGGCAAAATGAATCAGCAAATACAAGAAAAACAAATTATCCAGGTTACATTTATTCTGAAAACAGTATGAAACAACTAATTCAATTTAAATCCTGAAAATGGAAACAAGCTCCCCAATGGTAAGGGGTAAGATTGAGCATATTTATCTCCTCAGTGCACCCCATACTAGGTTACAGGTATTAATCGTACACTCAATTGATTTGGATTTATGGAAGCCGAGATCTCGCAAAAAGAGAAGGCTATCAGTTAGCAGCAAATCTAACAATACAATTGCACATCCTAGTTACACGACCACAAGGATGTAACAGATTCCCAATAGAAAACAAGCAACAAACAAACTGAGCAAGATAAACAAAGGAAGTCAGAGCACATACAACTATACAAGACCCAAAAAAATGATAAATCCAAAAATAAAGGGGAAGAAGAAGCTAAATCACTGACACCTGGAAACTTCAACAGACACGACAAAAGAATAGAGAAAGGCCGAGATTAAAGCAGTTTTAAGTCGAGTAAATGGAAGAATACTGGTAGACACAGGGTTTGCACCCAAGAAACCTCAGTACTGAAGATCTAGGATCAATGCATCATCTTGGAGCTCTTGTGCACCACAAAAGTAGGCTTATTTGGTAATTTCTTGTTTTTTCCATCTAAGCAGGCTTCTTATCACGGAAAAAGCTCTTGTGAAGTTGAGTGTGTCCCATGACCATTTAAAAAAAACTGTAAACTTCTTAGTGCTTATCTAGTTGAATTTGGAAGTAATACTAGCAATGAAGTTGTTTTCAC